TTGAATGAAGCTGTATAAATCCTCACAGCATCTAATGCTCTCTCTAGGCCTACACTCATATAAAGATACATTAAACAAATATATGAAAAGTCTCATATAATAGACAGACAGACAGACAGATAGATACACCTAAAGCCTCATACAAGCACTCCTATCGTTAGTTACACACACACACACACACACACACACACACACACACACACAGGTTTGGCCTATTAATATAATAATGCTGCTCATCCTGGTGAAGCGTCATGTCGCGCTGCGTGTCTTTGTCTCATGAAGCGGCTGGGCGGCGCGACAACATTCACCATAATGCCGTCCAGTATTCACATTCAGCATTCATCATAATTCACCATAATGCCGTCCAGTATTCACACCATAATGCCGTCTCATGCCTTATTTCGCAACAGCAAACAAATATCACCGCGACACTCGAGCGTTTGACATGAAGTCGATCAGATGGATATCTGCAGCTGTATCCGATCGCTCTGGTTTCAGAAAGAGGCGACGACAAAAGCGCAGCGGCACGCGAGAATAGCGCGATACTCACGAGGCGGCGCTGGATGAGGAGTGAGCGGCTCTCGGTCTCCAGACGCGATCTGTCTGCTGCTCTCCTGCTGCTGCTGCTCTCCTGCTGCTGATGCTGAGGAGCACTGGCGCTCCCTCCCCTCAGCACGCCTCAGCTCAGAGGAGGAGGCTTCAGCAGACCTTTCTTCTGGAGAAGTGCTGCTTATTTCAGCCATCTCTGGAGCACTACTTACATCAGTTGGAGCACTAGTTATCTCAGTCGTCTGTGCAGCACTAGTTATCTCAGTCGTCTGCGCAGCACTAGTTATCTCAGTCGTCTGCGCAGCGCTAGTTATCTCAGTCGTCTGCGCAGCACTAATTATCTCAGTCGTCTGCGCAGCACTAGTTATCTTCTCTGGAGCACTAGTTATCTCGGTCGTCTGCGCAGCACTAGTTATCTCAGTCGTCTGCGCAGCACTAGTTATCTCAGTCGTATGCGCAGCACTAGCTATCTCCTGGAGCACTAGATATCTCAGTCGTCTGTGCAGCACTAGTTATCTCAGTCGTCTGCGCAGCACTAGTTATCTCAGTCGTAGACACAGGTGTGCTGCTGGGAATAAGGGAGTGAAAGAGGTATGCATTTAATTACTCAATTTGCTTAAAATGACATTCACAATGATTTTCTATGGTCATTAAATGTGAATGAATCTAAGAGACAGACGTCATGCTTGTGACAGTTAGGATGACTGACTGACTGCATATTACACTCTATTATGAAACAGCTGTTCAAAATAAAAGGTAGAGTGATGAACGCGCAGCTCTCAGTAATATGAGCCGTGCCACATTATTAAACATTATTAACAGATTAGAGATCACTGAAAAATCCTGTCGTCAGTGACTCTCAGAGCCATTCAAACCGTGCAGCACAAATGAAGATCCTTTGAAGAATGCTTCTGCTGTTTTTTGTCCATATACTGTGAAAGACACTTGAGTCCAACATCACCAAACCTCACTGATTTTCACTGGAAATATCTATGTAACGGCGTGAGGCTTTGGGTAAACCCATCTCAGTAGATTGTGTAGAGCAGACGGCGCGTGATTGAGATGCTTTTTCTGCACTGATCTCAGCTCAGGGCCCCACGGTCGCTATGATAAGAGACCAAAATAAGCAGAGCATCTCAGAGCTCTCAAGTGTGACGACTGGGGCTCCCACAGGGTCTCCTTAAGCGCTTTACTAACCAGACGTCAATATGTCAAACAGAAAAGCTTGATTAGGACTCATGCTGGCCTCACGTATTCATCAGGAATGCATGCATTACACCGGTGACTGAGCACAGGTTCATTAAACAAGTCCAGATATGAAAACTAGCCCAGCATTCAGTCCAAATCCACAGCATCCATGCATGTTTCTGGCAGCCGTGTTCTGTGTGTGTGATGAAGTGAGCAGTGCTGTTTGTTTAGAGGTGTAAAGTGATCTGTGAGCGGCGTGAGCAGGATCTCACATTCAAACGGCCAGCAAGCTCTTGCTCACAGAGTGTTGTCAAACATTAATAGGCTGTAGCTCATTCTTCTCATGATTAAACATCTAAATGTGTAAGGCATTTATTCAGCCGTGAGCTCAGGTCCACGACGAGTGCCGGTATCGAGACACACCCTCAGTCTGGTGTTGCTCAAAGGCTGATGCTGTTTGGTTTAGTGTTGTGCTATTTTCATTAGTGAGCAAAGATAGACAAAAAATCTGACCATGTGAGCTACTGGATATGAGCTGAATGAACAGTGTGCTCATCGTCCTCCGTCATGTGCTCACATTCACCTCTGCTGCTCCTGCATGGCTTAAATATCTGAAATGATGTGTATGACAGATCACAGATACAGCAGTGACGTGCAGAACTGCTCATTCAGCATGAAATGATGTTCTCAGGGATGATGCATATAGACCAGACCAGTCTCAAAGATTTGGACAGCATTCTCATTGTCTTGAATTAAGATGATGCTGAGTGTCAGCCAGATCAGAGCTGAGAGTGTTCAGGGGAACGTGCTGTCGTTTCTGAGGTTTGCAGCAGTGAGAACTGCTCCTGCAGATGGATTCATGCCAGGAGTCACTGTGCTGAGCGATCCGATAATGACATACCCTGAGGTTTGCACAGCTCCACATATGTGAGTCCAGCACTGGTGTACTAGCACACTTGTAGACAGCATTAGCTGAGGTGTTGGGATGCAAGCGTGAGGTAAACAGAGATGCGGCGCTGCTGTGGGGTTGGCACGGCCGATGTGCTGCTGCTGCATTGTTTTATTGATGGCATATCTCCAGTAGCTCAGATCAGATCTGTGCCTCAGCGCCTGCAGTTTCACAGCTTCTCACAGTCGGGCTGATGTTCTGTGATCAGCGCTGTCCAGTCCTGCGCCAAGCTTAAACCAGCTACTCAAAGTCTTCAGGATCACTAGACACGTCCAGACAGTGTGTTGGAGCTAAACGCTGCGGGATAGTGGCCCTACAGGAGCAGGACATCTCTGAGCAGCCAAATCACATCAGAATTATAGCATGTTAAAGGAATAGTTCACCCAAAGATGAAAGTGTGCTCACTCTTGATGAGCCCCAGATACAGATCCCCTGTAAAGGCCTTGTCTCAGACGGCCACCGGGACAAGACCACAGGAACCAGATGAGTCCTCTGCACAATGTGACTTTGCTGCAGCCTGGAACTGAACTGCTGGTTTCGTCTGGTCAGAGGAGAACTGGCCCCCCGACTGAGCCTGGTTTCTCCCAAGGTTTTTTCTCCATTCTGTCACCGATGGAGTTTTGGTTCCTTGCCGCTGTCGCCTCTGGCTTGCTTAGTTGGGGACACTTCCTTTCCAGCGATATCATTGACTTGATTGCACAGATACTATCTAAACTGAGCTGAGCTGGATGATGACATCACTGAATTCAATGATGAACTGTCTTTAACTGAAAAATGAGTGTTTACTATTGTCATTTTGCATTAATGCTGTTCAGTTGCTTTGACACAATCTGTATTGTTAAAAGCGCTATATAAGTAAAGGTGACTTGACTTGACTTGACTCTCAGTTCATCAGAGATCAGGATGAGTTTGTTTCTTCATCAGGTTTGTAGAAATGCAGCACTGCATCAGTGTCTCAGCAATGGATGCTCTGCAGTGAATGGGTGCCGTCAGAATGAGAGTCCAAACAGCTGATAAAAACATCACAATAATCCACAAGTAATCCACAGCACTCCAGTCCATCAGTTAACATCTGGAGAAGACAAAAGCTGAAACACATCCAGCATTAAGACACTTTTAACTCAAATACCATAGAGTCCATAATCCATAATAACGCTTCCTCCAGTGAAAAGTGTTCTGGTGTGAATCAGGAGAGAAATCTGCACAGATCAAGCAGCGTTTAAACAGCTCTAAACACATATGTGGCTGGATTTTGATGTGAGAGACAACAGCAGATGCACTTCTTCACTGGAGGAAGAGTTATTATGGATTATAGTCCTTCCTGGACTGCAGTATGATTGATGTGCATGAACCACTGAGGAAATGTAGAGTTTAATTCTGTTAGTTAAAGACTTTGAAAGTATTTTATAGTCAGCTCTGAGTAAAGAGACTGGACGCCAGCATCTAATGTCTTCATATCACTCTTTTTTAGGTTATAGGGTGACCGCAGCTCTGTGTAGACTCACTGGAAGTGTAGCTCTCCATAAAAACAGAAAACAAATCCTTTCCAATGACTGGCCAAAAATGTCTATAAAATTCTGCATTACGTCCATCCAATCCTGGAGCTTTGCCAGAAGACAGCTCTTCAACAGCTATCAGTTGTGGAGAGAGAACATGTGGAGGAAGATTTTAAAAAGTATTGCAGCTCTCCAAGGATTTGTTTAGGTTAAATAAATAATAGCTCCATTTGATAACTGATGCTTAATTTTGCTGTATTTTAATCATAGGTGTCTCTGGAATGAATGTAGATGAAGACGTGGCTGTTCCTTTACTCAGCGCCGGGCTCCTGACCAATCACAGCAGTCCGGTGTGCGTCTGGACCAATCACAGCAGTCCAGTGTGCGTCTGGACCAATCACAGCAGTCCGGTGTGCGTCTGGACCAATCGCAGCAGTCCGGTGTGCGTCTGGACCAATCGCAGCAGTCCGGTGTGCGTCTGGACCAATCGCAGCAGTCCGGTGTGCGTCTGGACCAATCACAGCAGTCCGGTGTGCGTCTGGACCAATCGCAGCAGTCCGGTGTGCGTCTGGACCAATCACAGTGCGCTGTAAGCAGATAAGTCTCGATGGCGTCTGCGGAGCTGAGGAATCATCTGGAGGAGCTTCTGAAGCAACTCAACATTGACACGATCTGTGCCTTGGTCCCAGGGCCGTTTCTAGGCATAGGCGAGCTAGGCGGGTGCCAGCAGCTGAAGGGGCGTCAATGAGCGCACGTACTGGCACTTTTAGCGGGGTTGTGATAAAGAGTGGCCCGGTCACCCTGAAATATGACTGCCGCCCCCACTGGATCCCCCAACATTACTGGGCTAGAGTACTGTCCATCTGACGATGCCTGTATGCCACTAGATCAGAGTGCTGTCAATCGCTGCCTAATTGTTGCATGCAAAGTTTGCATCTGGAGCGCTCAACAACACCATTAGATCAGTGGGCTCTGTCAGTGCTTTGGCAAGCTAATACTTTTTTTTGCCATGCAATAAAGCTAAGTTCAAAGGCCAATTTAAAATGTTGGTACAGTAAATAAAGTGCACAAAATATAAGTATTTTGTTTAGGCAGTATTTGTGGCACTTTTGTGGCACATTTGTCCAAAAGGTGTGCGTTTTTTGCGCCAATGCATTGTTAAAGGATCAGCGTGTCATGTAATATTCCCATATAAACTTTAACATCCAATTAAAACATATTTGTATAGTAAAATTAGCTAATTCACGAGATCAATACATCCTTTATTAGACCGCTTTGTCGAGTTAAATGCATCCTTACGGTGGTCTCGAAATGCTGAATCAATTAATTCGCTTCCAACAGCGCTTAATGGGAGCAGCGTCATAGAGGGCAGAGCGTCACGTTATATAAAGGGTACGTTAACGCGTTAACGAGTAGCAAATGATTAATTGGTTACTTTTATGCCACTGATAAAGCTTTTAAATGTAGTTTGAGGTAACAAAGGGGTTTTATAGGTTTGACTGAAATAATAATGCAATAACTGACACTTTAAATCAATGTTTCAAGAAACAACAACAAAATT